GACTATAGACTAGCTATAGACTACACTATAGGCTACACTATAGACTAGATTATAGACAAGACTAAACTAGACTACAGACTGGTAACTATTAGTTAATAGTTACTATTCTAAAAAGAGAGCGAATGTGTTTAAGAATTATTGTTTTCTCTAGATCGAGGCTGCAAAATATCTGAGTCCTAATAAGATTAAGATTTTTCATATAAAACGAATTTTCTATTATTAAATAAAAAAATTTATAGCACATTTTAAACCTGTTCTAATCGAATTAATATAAAAACCAAATAAAAAACGCAACAGGTAACAAATCGTTGACCCTTTTTAGATAAAAAACACAAAACCAGCTCGACACTTGTATGCATTTTGTAACAAAGTGCAATAAACTGCATTGCACACAAAAGACCCAAAAAGAAAAGGTTTCTAAAAATCTGAAAACAAAAAGAAATCAAATGCAGTTAATAAATGTTCTGCTCCATTTGGGTATTTGAGAAATAATGAAAAGAAAAGAGGAAAATAGAAAAAAGGGCCTAAAGACGCAGCATAGATTAGCATCAGCAAATAAAACAGCATTCATTGTCTACGAACAGCATTAAAAGAAATATTGAAGAGAATACAAAAAGAAGGGACCTGTAAGCGATGATAACTGCCTCTAAGGTTGACATTTAAAGCCAGAAAAACAGAAACAACAACGAAGAAATAAATGGAAATAAAAGAATTAAGTTGTATAGAAATTTATTACGTTAAAGTGTCAACTACAGAGTCATATAGTCAGTAAACCAGACAGTCATTTAGTCAGATAGTTTTGCTGCATTTATTAGCCAGTTAGAAAGAGATAGACGGACAGCATTGTTTGAGTTATATCGTTGGGTTGAGTATGTCTGCCTGTCTGGTTTTATATAATCTTAAGTGATAAATTTTAACAGCTCCGATTACTTATTTTGTTTAACATTTATTTATTTCAACTTTTTGTTATGTTTTCTTAAGAGATTTATCTTAAAAAAATTTATGGATTCTGTCTGTCTGTTTACTTTCTTTATTTAGGTTTCTTTACGATTTCGATTACTATTTGCCTCTAGAGTTTGTCACACGTGAAACTGTGTATGATTAGTTGCATTTTTTTTCTCTACTCTGTTACAGTTTTTAGGAGTCTGGAGACTGGAGTGCAATTAGTTTTAAGATGTCATTAAATTGATAACAAAGTTTAAACAAAGAACTATTAAGTAGTTTTCTTCAGATTTCTTTAATAGCAAACACACCCATTAATGATACATGACTTTATTGCAAGTATTATAGTTAAACTCGTTTTTTGAAACCAGTTATTCTTAATCTTTACGTTCGTTTTACAGATTCTTATTGCAGACTTAGAATTTTAACTGATTTCTTAATTCAATCATTTTTGAATCAGACCTCTATAGGGTCTATTGTTCATGATTTATGAAAGGAAACTGCAAACTCAGTTTCCTGGACGTAGTTCCTTAGAGTTTTCCAAAAAGTATTCCTGAGAAGGAATAGAAAAGCAAAGAAAAGTGAAATTCAGAGTAATTTAAGTAGGGAAATACATAAAGCCTTTAATATTAGCTACAACGAAACATGCTCATTCTGTAATCGTGAGCAGAAGACTACTACGGAGGTGGATATCTTAGCCTCTGAGGCGCACAATGCGTCAAGTGTATAGTGTGCCATTGGCAAAAACATAGGGGTGAAAGAGAAGGACGTACTCAGAGAAAGCCCTAAGCTACCTCAACCTTTAAATATAGATGAGGGTTCCGACTCTGAATCCTCAGATTATAATAACAATACCGTAGCACATCCCAAAAAGGTTGAAATAGAGCGGAGAGAGAAATTGAAGAAGACGCTTTAGAAAATCCTAGTGAGTCAATCCCACGACACTCCAAAGGAAAAATCGGATTCTCTCTTAAGTTAAGAAGATCAAGTTCCCCGTCTTCTAATAAACAGTCGATCCAAAGCCATACCACAATCAAAGGAACCTCAAGTAAGAATCATAGGAGGAAGGGTGACAATCTCAAGCCTGATATTCCGAAACATGTCGTCGAAATTAACCTCGAAGGAAAGGGTTTATCAAAAGTAGTCCCGAAAAAATAAGAAGCTAAACGGTGGAAAATGAAAAGATCCGCCATCTTACGCCAATGTTGCTAAGAGAAGATACCGGGACGATCTCTGCTATGCAGCATACCATGCTGGTAATCCGACAGGCAAAATTCTAATAGATTAGCAGAGTAAGACCGAACAACCTATAGAGACCGTGAACTGCGATTTCAGCATGGGTGTGATGTGACCAATGTGCAGCGTTAATCTGGTACTGGTAAAGAAGAGAGATCTTCCGGTCATCTTAAAGTTCACTGTCTACAAAAAAGGATGAAACAGTAAACTGGCTAATGAGCCCATATTGGAAATTATTGGAAGCTAAAATGCAGAGCTGGCCATGGAAAAACGGGATGACATTCACAGGAAAGATGAACCTGAGGGAACTCTACTGGTAAAGATATCGACCAGAACTCCATGGTTAGAGTGCCGAGAACAAAAGTAGTGCTTATTGCGCCTCTTAAACTGTTAACGCCACTACGGGTAACGAGGAGAAAATCACCCACTTGACAGAAGACAGAGCAGCGCACCTTTCCTAAATTGGAAAGGCGTCCATTGGCAGGACTGTTAACCAATCACCAATAAGGGCACTAAAAACCTAAGACGGTGCCCACAGCATGATTAGCCACTACCAGTAACGTTGAGGAATCAAATCCTAAAAGCGAGTATTAAATCACTCACTCGCCAGAAGACAGAGCAGCAGCAGCTTCCAAAGCTGGGAAGGAGAAGTCATGAGAATGCGAAAGACTTTCGCCTAATCAGTTTTTCTTATTTTCAACTGCATGTGTTTAGTAAAATCATGCCCAAAACTCTGATATTACACAATAACTGAGCTACATAATATGGTCTAGGGGTAAATTTAAGCAAAATTGAACTGGTACAGTCTATTACGAAGACCAAGACACCAAACTTCAAACTGCCACAGGTAAAGAACTTCGAAATTCCCTAATCGGGTTATAAAAAGTTCAGAGATTATCTTATACTGGTATAACAGGTGCACTAAGAACCAGTCCTGAATGCTATATTGCACCCTGTTCCTATCGACATTGACAAAATGGCCATCTTTGCGATGCTTAAGGCGTCTGGATGTTGGGGATCAATAATATATGGACATGCATTAATTCATAGCGTCCACAGTTTTTAACCAACCATGTAACTATATTATCCCACACATGGACTTTGATAGAAAGTTTAGAGTCAGGTGCGTGTGGTGCAATTTAATGAACGAATTTAACATCAGGATCTATACAGATGGTTCAAAAATGAACTGCGGGGTTAGATCTAGTGTTTTCTGATACGAATTTGCAATTAGAATATATCATCGTCTAGCGAAAGATAATGATAGTCTCTAAGACACTATATAACCTCAACATTCGTGGGTCTGTTTTGGATATTTCCAGTGTGACTTTCGGGCTACCCTTAAATGAATACTGTTGTAGTTGTAAAGACAAGGAAGAGTAATAAAAAGGTCTTCCATCTTTCCTGCGAATACTCTGCTCTAGTCTCCAAGAGATATATGTAGTTTATTTGGCTCTAATCATAATGACTTCCTGAATTTTTCACGGCTACAGGCTGGATCTAATAAATAATATGCAATACTACATCTGACGAGTGGAGTGGTTCTGTCGGGTGTCCTCGTACCTATATTACCACTGGAAGAGTATTAGGCCTAACCTCTGCAGCCACCACATTCAATCCAATCCATTTTACAGATTTCATAATACTTAGCACCGACTTCCGCCTGGAAGTTAGTGTTGTAAATAGCAAGACACTAGTATATTGACATCTATGCAACATTAAATTCCCGCAGGGGTTTGCTCTAATGTTCCGCTGGAGAAGAATTTAATATCTGCGACCAATGTCTCACAGTTCCCTTAAATTTATGTGTTTGGTATGCGATCGGTTAGGTTGTGAGTGCCGCCTGGTATCATACATACATGCATTTCGATTGGCGGAATGTTCGACCTAGTGCTAGTACGCTGAACTCTCTGTAGTGGTATAAGAGGGGTTATATGGGCGGTAGAAGCAATTATGTACAGATCCCTATGAAATTTGTTGGAGATATTTGGTTCAGATAAAACTTAAGGCATTTTATGGGGGCTAAAGTTAAATGTAAATCAATTTTGTCCATTTTAAATGCCACAGAATAATGGTTTAGGCACTAATGTGTTTTCAACAGATGATGAGATTATGGTCGTCGGGAAAGCCCAGATGACTAGCTATTTTAACATGTGTTTTTCCTTGAAGGAAGTCAATCGTCACTTCATAGATTACAAAGAGTGTGTTAGGAAGTTAGTTCAAAAGAATCAATGCATGGTAATAAAACTCTTTGCTTCATTGGGTACTATAAAGTGACGACTTTTCGCTCTCGCTTACAAAGAGGACGCACTGGAAAGACTGTCTTTTTCGGATGCATTGATTCTTTGTCAAATGGATCCAGTCTGTAACAGGTTTTCTAGATTATTTGGGCAATAATAATAGAATTAACAACATTACTCGGATTTCGTAAACTGATCATTTCCCGGATTTCTCCCCGGCATTAAGATTAAAGAGTAGATCGTTCCATTGGTTGTCGGATTTCGTATTTCTTAACCGATCATTTCCTGGATTTCTCTCCGGCATTAAGATCCATTGGATGTTGTAAAGACATTGGAATTGACAAATTTTCTTATAAAAAATAAATCACAACAATTTTAAATGGTTTCAAAAACAGCAATAACAACATTTATTAGTTATAAATTAAATAGAAATATTAATTAAATTAATAATTAAAAATAAATAGTTTAAAAAACATTAAAATTTGATATTAAATAGTAAAAATAATAAATAAATTAATAAATTTTGCTAGACTTATATCTATAGATCATATACGATCAATTGCACTATAATATTTCTGAAAATTATTTTATGATTTTTATCATTTGTGTTAAACACTCATAATCATAAGTCAGATATTTATAAGAAAATTTAAGAACATCCGAAGAATCTTCTAAATCGATTTCCTGAAAAAGAATATAAAAATTAGCAAATTAATTATAATTAAGTTTTTTCTAGTCTTACCGAAATTTTGCCCGAAAACTTATAAGGATTGAGATCTATATGCACGCGATCGGTGGGAAGTTGACGCTGCTGCTTTAACAAGTAGAGAAGATTAGGTATAAGTTCGGCGGTTATTAAGCCACAAGATCTTAAACTAAAACGTTTTAAACGTTGACAGTTTGACAAAAGTTGTAAAACTGAACGATTAGAGATAAAATAAGAATTATTGATATTAAGCTCTTTCAGTTGACTTAAATGTGAAAATTTTTCCATGATTGCCTCATCACAGGGATTACACATGCAATGTAAGACTTTTAACTTCTCCAACTGAGCTACTAACGAGGCTTTATCCGCATCAAATGATGAACAATCTACCAGTTTTAGTGCGTCCAATTGTTTAGCTTGATATTTAGCTAAATTGCCAAGAAATTCCTTGGTTATAGGAGGACTAATTATATTATCTCTCCATATTTCCAACTGCTTTAACCGAGGTAATTGTGCTAGACAATTGATATGCTCTTTGGTAGTAGACAATTTGAGAGTCTGTAAGTGTTTGAGATTTTCAAAAATTGTTTGAAAATTTTGACTAGATAAGTTATTGCAATTTCTAATATCGAGTAACTGTAAACTTTGAAGATTTTGGAAAATTTTCTCAAAGTACCGTGACTCTATGTGGGTGCAATTATTGAGGGACAATTCTTGCAGACCTTTGAGTTCGTAAATATAATTACCTGGAAAAAATTGAAAGAGTTTTAAAACATTTACATCAAACTTATAAAATCCCCTTACTCACCAGTTATCTCGGGATTATTGATTATCGCTAAAGACTTTAAATTTCTCAAAGAATTTAAATATCTAATAGACTCATCGTTTACACACCAACCAAAATATTTCAAAGACTCAACATTAATGCAATAGGTAAATAAAAATTTAAAATATATAAATTCCCTTAAATAACTTTGTTCTTCGAAGGGAAATTCTATTTTCAAATGTTTTATATACGCACCAATAATCGAAAGCAATACTTGCAGTTGAAAGGTGTGTAAAGTATTAAAAAATCTTGTATTTAAATTAGATTTATAATCGATTCTTAAACGTTTTCTAAAAATATCATAAAAATTTTGATATGAAATAATCATATTAATGCGATCGCCTATGGGTAACATTTTGAAAATGTGATCTAAACAATCTCCATTCAATGATATCATCAAATCCTGTTGGTTTGCTGCAAAATAAACACATATCAACAACATTTAGAACTTTTCAAAACTGAACATTTTCTCTATCACAAACTTACTCATTTTATTTCCTCAATTATCCGCCGTTTGCCACCACTAACAAGAACGTCTATACGTAAACTATTTCTATTGGAACCTATAAAGAAGATTCAAGTTTTGTGTTTCTTATCAGAATTATAAACTACAGTATTTTTAACAATAAACATTTAAACAAATGCACCATAAAACACATTTAACCTGTTGCCTCTCTTAGTTTCGCTTAGACTCTCTATTTTGCCGGCTGCTTAGTTGCAGTGTTAGTGCACTGTTTGAGTGCACTGATAACTGTTGAAAAAGCTGTGTATTGTGAAATTTCTAATCATATTATGCCTACGCTGCACCGTTTGTAACGTTTCAAAATAAAGGTTATAGTCCTCAAAATACGTTCTAGTTCAGTTCTTGTTCAGTTCTAGTTCAGTTCTAGTTCGGTTCTAGTTCAGTTCTAGTTCAGTTCTAGTTCAGTTCTAGTTCAGTTCTAGTTCAGTTCTAGTTCAGTTCTAGTTCAGTTCTAGTTCAGTTCTAGTTCAGTTCTAGTTCAGTTCTAGTTCAGTTCTAGTTCAGTTCTAGTTCAGTTCTAGTTCAGTTCTAGTTCAGTTCTAGTTCAGTTCTAGTTCAGTTCTAGTTCAGTTCTAGTTCAGTTCTAGTTCAGTTCTAGTTCAGTTCTAGTTCAGTTCTAGTTCAGTTCTAGTTCAGTTTTAGTTCAGTTCTAGTTCAGTTTAGTTCAGTTCTAGTTCAGTTCTAATTCAGTTCTAGTTCAGTTCTAATTTAGTTCTAGTTTAGTTCTAGTTCAATTTTATTTTAGTTCTAGTTCAGTTCTAGTTCAGTTCTAGTTCAGTTCTAGTTCAGTTCTAGTTCAGTTCTAGTTCAGTTCTAGTTCAGTTCTAGTTCAGTTCTAGTTCAGTTCTAGTTCAGTTCTAGTTCAGTTCTAGTTCAGTTCTAGTTCAGTTTAGTTCAGTTCTAGTTCAGTTCTAATTCAGTTCTAGTTCAGTTCTAATTTAGTTCTAGTTTAGTTCTAGTTCAATTCTATTTTAGTTCTAGTTCAGTTCTAGTTCAGTTCTAGTTCAGTTCTAGTTCAGTTCTAGTTCAGTTCTAGTTCAGTTCTAGTTCAGTTCTAGTTCAGTTCTAGTTCAGTTCTAGTTCAGTTCTAGTTCAGTTCTAGTTCAGTTCTAGTTCAGTTCTAGTTCAGTTCTAGTTCAGTTCTAGTTCAGTTCTAGTTCAGTTCTAGTTCAGTTCTAGTTCAGTTCTAGTTCAGTTCTAGTTCAGTTCTAGTTCAGTTCTAGTTCAGTTCTAGTTCAGTTCTAGTTCAGTTCTAGTTCAGTTCTAGTTCAGTTCTAGTTCAGTTCTAGTTCAGTTCTAGTTCAGTTCTAGTTCAGTTCTAGTTCAGTTCTAGTTCTAGTCAGTTCTAGTTCAGTTCTAGTTCAGTTCTAGTTCAGTTCTAGTTCAGTTCTAGTTCAGTTCTAGTTCAGTTCTAGTTCAGTTCTAGTTCAGTTCTAGTTCAGTTCTAGTTCAGTTCTAGTTCAGTTCTAGTTCAGTTCTAGTTTCAGTTCTAGTTCAGTTCTAGTTCAGTTCTAGTTCAGTTCTAGTTCAGTTCTAGTTCAGTTCTAGTTCAGTTCTAGTTCAGTTCTAGTTCAGTTCTAGTTCAGTTCTAGTTCAGTTCTAGTTCAGTTCTAGTTCAGTTTCTAGTCAGTTCTAGTGCAGTTTCTAGTAGTCTAGTTTCAGTGCAGTTCAGTTCTAGTTCAGTTCTAGTTCAGGATTCTAGTTCAGTTCTAGTTCAGTTTCAGTCAGTGTCAGTTTCTAGTCAGTTCTAGTTCATTCTAGTCAGTTCTAGGTTCTAGTTCAGTTCTAGTTCAGTCTAGGTTCAGTTTCTAGTTCAGTTCTAGTTCAGTTCTAGTTCAGTTCTAGTTCAGTTTTTAGGTTTCGATTCGATCACTAGTTCTAGAGTTTATCGATTGTTAACAAATGGTTATTTATTCTTTATTTTATCATAAGTAAAATTTCAATGCAGTTTTGCAAAACAAATGGAAACTAATGAAATGTACTAGTTCAGTTCTAGTTCAGTTCTAGTTCAGTTCTAGTGTATTGTGTTCTAGGTGTATTTCTTCGGATCTGAAGTAGTATTCATTCTTCTTTCTTTCAAATTGAGCTACAAACGATGCTAGAGTTCATAATCTTAAAAATAATTATATGAAGACCTCACATAGTGCCACCACAAGTTAATAAATATGATTTAAAAATCGTATTCAAATGTAAATTAGAAAACTCCCACGCAAGAAACAGGATGTTTAAAACTCATTAAAGGAATCCTGAGAATACACTTAAATCAATTACAACAAGGCGCATTTTTTAACATAAAGATGTTTTTAAACTTAAACATTAATCATTAATAAAACCAAACATACATCATCTTAAAAAACACTTAAACTACTTGAAAATCAGTTTTCCAAAAGAAATTTAAATACAAAATTTTCTAAAAGAAAATAGTTATTTTTTTTTAGTTTACAACAACCAGCATTTTCTAACTCTTTCATTAAGAATTGAAATTTGTTATCGTGAAGCTGATCTTTAGTTTTCCGAAAAAAAATACCGCAAAATTTAATAAAAAAATATATTTTCTCATGATTATTTTTTTTTCCGAAATGAAAATTAAAGATCATAAAGATAATTTTGACAGTGGTGACATTAACGAGTGAGCACCAGTGTATTTAACTCTAATTTGAACATCATCTGTGTTAAACCACCAACTGAGAGAAAACTCAGAGAATTTTTTTACATCTCTACAGAATAACAAATTTTATTGCAGTTTTTTAATGATTGAGTATTTGTGTTGAAAAAAACCTTTGACCCGCAGGTTTTTCCTTAAACAAAAAAATATTTTCACATTCGCACACTCATAAACACATTTATGTTTAATTTCAAGGGGCCAGCTCTTACTTAGTTCAATTGGTGGGTAGTTTTCGAATATGAAATTTACTTAATTCTATTTATGTTGTCTTGCAATTTATTTGAGCTCTTGACTTGTGAGAATGTACGAATATATATATTTTTTTGTCTTATTAAAACGGAAGTTGTCATTGTTAATGTAATTTCCGGAAAATCTTATTGTTTGTTTTTAACATATTTTGCAAAACTCATGTGCTGAACACATGAATATAATGTGCGTGTGTGCTAAATAAATATGTGGGCTGCTGCTGAAGGAACAATTATGTATTCATATGGGCTCTTTGAAAATAAAGTACATTTTCATTAGTTTCCATTTGTTTTGGCAAAACTGAATTGAAATTTACTTATGATGAAAATAATAGAATAAATAACATTTGTTAACAATCGATAAACTCGAGAACTAGTGATCGAATAGAAACTAAAACTGAACTAGAACAGAACTAGAACTGAACTAGAACTGAACTAGAACTGAACTAGAATTGAATTAGAACTGAACTAGAACTGACTAGAACTGAAGACTAGAACTGAACTAGAACTGAACTAGAACTGAACTAGAACTGAACTAGAACTGAACTAGAACTGAACTAGAACTGAACTAGAACTGAACTAGAACTGAACTAGAACTGAACTAGAACTGACTAGAACTGAACTAGAACTGACAGACTGAACTGAACTAGAACTGACTAAACTAGAACTGAACTAGAACTGAACTAGAACTGAACTAGAACTGAACTAGAACTGAACTAGAACTGAACTAGAACTGAACTAGAACTGAACTAGAACTGAACTAGAACTGAACTAGAACTGAACTAGAACTGAACTAGAACTGAACTAGAACTGAACTAGAACTGAACTAGAACTGAACTAGAACTGAACTAGAACTGAACTAGAACTGAACTAGAACTGAACTAGAACTGAACTAGAACTGAACTAGAAAGAACTAGAACAGAACTAAAACAGAACTAAAACAGAACTAAACAAAACTAAAACAGAATTAGAACAGAACTAGAACAGAACTAGAACTGAACTAGAACTGAACTAGAACAGAACTAGAACAGAACTGGAACTGAACTAGAACTGAACTAGAACTGAACTAGAACTGAACTAGAATTGAATTAGAACTGAACTAGAACTGAACTAGAACTGAACTAGAACTGAACTAGAACTGAACTAGAACTGAACTAGAACTGAACTAGAACTGAACTAGAACTGAACTAGAACTGAACTAGAACTGAACTAGAACTGAACTAGAACTGAACTGAACTAGAACTGAACTAGAACTGAACTAGAACTGAACTAGAACTGAACTAGAACTGAACTAGAACTGAACTAGAACTGAACTAGAACTGAACTAGAACTGAACTAGAACTGAACTAGAACTGAACTAGAACTGAACTAGAATTGAACTAGAACTGAACTAGAACTGAACTAGAACTGAACTAGAACTGAACTAGAACTGAACTAGAACTGAACTAGAACTGAACTAGAACTGAACTAGAACTGAACTAGAACTGAACTAGAACTGAACTAGAACTGAACTAGAACTGAACTAGAACTGAACTAGACCTGAAGTAGAGCTGAACTAGAGCTGAACTAAAACTGAACTAGAACTGAACTAGAACTGAACTAGAACTGAACTAAAACTGAACTGGAACTGAACTAGAACTGAACTAAAACTGAACTAGAACTGAACTAGAACTGAGCTAAAACTGAACTAGAACTGAACTAGAACTGAGCTAAAACTGAAAATGTCCTTCTTTTTGATCGATTTCATCCACTGAAATTGGCGTAAAAAATTTATATCGAAGCAAATCTTTTATTTATTTCCATAATAAACTAAATACATAAAAACTTCAGATCATTTATGTAATAATTTCATCTCAATTTACACATAAAAACCACATTACTTTTGTAATAAAAATTACAATAAACAACTTTAGCTATAAAACACTCAAATATTCTCAAATTAATTCAATACCCCTCCAAAATAAGCTCAAGGACAAAAGTACTAATATGAACAGTATTAATGTATTAATGCCAAACATTTTAACCTTTTAATTTTTTGAAATAAAACATTGAATTTGCATTGAATTTTAATACTTTTCAAAAAACAGAC